TCTGTCTGTCTGTCTGTCTGTCTGTCTGTCTGTCTGTCTGTCTGTCTCTGTCTGTCTGTCCGTCTGTCTGTCTGTCTCTGTCTGTCTGTCTGTCTGTCTCTGTCTGTCTGTCTGTCTGTCTAGTCTGTCTGTCTAGTCTGTCTGTCTGTCTGTCTGTCTGTCTTTCTAGTCTGTCTGTCTGTTTGTCTGTCTGTCTGTCTGTCTGTGTATGTGTCTGTCTGTTCAATTCCTGCACCTCGGTTTCCTCGTTGTAGCTNTTTAACTCGTCATGACCTACGTTGTGTATACCGCTTATTCCAAATGATATTCTTGTAAACAGTATTTCGATTGTTCTCGGATTTTAAATTAATCCGGATTGAGCAATTTCAATATTCGTGTATGGCAATGACTTTGTCTCACAAGAACATGAAATGCTTATGCGGATTACTCTGTTTCTTCTGGCTCTGTTCAGACTGAATGTTCCAAACATCCAATGGTAAAACTACAAATGCAATCACTGTTCTGTGGCAATTGTCATCACAGAACAATTCACAACTGAAAGATACCGGTTTTCAAGTCAGTAAATGTAGTTGATCCATCCTTATTCTTTGGTTTGGAACAGAAAGGGAGAAAAAGTTATCCCTTGTAGCAGTGACTGAAGAGGTCCGAAAAGAGAGAAATAAAGATAAATTTTACACAGGCCTCTAATTCACGTGAAAATGATAGTATGCATGAACACGAGAAGAATAATTCTCGTCTTTTCAACGGGTCAAAAATCAGTGAACTTAGAAATTTACTTTCGGCAATGAAGTTCTCTATTGGTCTTAACCGCTGAAAAGAATGTGGCAGTGGCGTAGATGAGGAGTGGTAGGATTCGAATTCGCTTTCCATTGATTAGGCATATATATCCGTGTATCGAGGAGTTATGGTTTATTTCGCACATTAAAATAAGATACGATTAGTAAATAAATTCTGAGAAAGAACAGAGTATTTGGTATACCATACAGAGATACAGAGGCCTCAAATTGATGAAAAGCAAGATCGGGCACATTGGAACTGATTCTTCATTTTTTTCTTTTACTCATGACACTTTTGAATTCTTCAAACGAAACTGTACCATTATGATCCGTGTCTGCTTCAGCAATCATCTCTTCAATCTCACTATCGGTCAGCTTTAGGTGCAGACTTTGCAACACCGCTTTCAATTCCCGCGTGGTGATATCCCCGTCATGATCTTTGTCAAAAAATTCAAATGCTGCCTTCAGATCGGAATCGTCTGAACGGTTTGGGGTCATCACTGGACTCATGAGTTCGACAAATTCACGAAAATCAATCACCCCATCATTGTTCTTATCCACTTCGGCCATTATCTCCCTCGCCTCCTCAGCGGTACACGGTCGATTGAACAGTTTCATCATCGAGCGCAGCTCTTGCAAAGTGATATGACCATCGTGATCTTTGTCAAATAAACCGAAAGCTTCACGTAACTCCTCTATCTGTTCCTCACTTAATACCCTACCAGACATGCTTGTTATCGGTTGTATACACGGGTGTCTAAAGTTGTTCCACGCGCTCGTTTCAAATCACAGTATGTAATCAATTGGTTTGTGTGTGGATCACGTGATTTAGACCTACACGTCTGAGTCTTAAGCCCCATGAACACGCAATCCGCATTCACCACAATTCCGTCAAACTTTCGGACCTGTGAACAGGGCAAACATGAAACTGGAAAATTGAAATTTCAATAAGCCAGAGGGAGATCAGGAATACGGTCGAATTATTCTGCCAGAATAAAAAAGCAACTTTTATTTTCCCTGTATTGGTGAATACTTTTTCATATAATTAAATTCTTTTTAGAATTTGTGTACCAAAACGGTATCATGATGCATCCATCTGTAACGCTTCCTAAATCCCGAATTCCTACTTTCAGGTTTATGTGCAATTGTTTGGAAAACAGAAGAGCTGATGGTAAAGATCGTGTAACTGAGTAAAATTAAGATCCCCTTTGAGAGCCGAATTGGTTACATACAGTTGGATTCAGTGCATTCTGAAGATGGTATCAAACCTTGGTAAATCCATGCGTAATCAGGCGACGAGATCCTTTTCAAGCAAAAAGGATCTGGGTCTCGTCGATTTGACTATGAGCATTCAATGGTTGTCGCACAGTTGTGAAGATGTATGTTGTGTCCCAGGTTAGGTTGGTAGATGAGCATATACAGAGAATTAAGCAATAACAATGTGGATCTTTTCACTTTGGAGTAAAAAAAAATTGGAAAGTATAATTTTTGTTTGATCCCCTTGGAAATCTGTGATTAAAAAAATGTGTGAAATAAATGGAGTTTTCTATCAACTGAAAACCTCTTCGACGATAGCAGAAGTGTTTATCACTGAGGGGAACATATTGATCGCCCTTGACTCGGCAACATTACTCATTTCTTCAAAAACAACTTACCCCTATTGATTGTGTGAATTCTGAGAAGGTTATTCATTGTTATATGAAGTTCACACAAAAATTTTCAAAGTGCCTTTCTGTAGTAATTGTAGGATGCACTGATCACGAGATACGAATTACGAATTGCAAATCACGGACGTCACTTAAGCACTGGATCACACTGGTACTTGCACGATGGTATCCCACTTGACCGAGACACGAGAAAAAAGACCACAAGAATAGAAGTCCGTTTATTGAAAGAAATCAGGGGGATTAAATGACATACAAAACAAGTTGATGGGTCATCCAAGCCTCTGCCAATTGCGTTCAAGTATTTGTGGTGTTATTCAGCTTCTGACTGGGCCGCACGGTTTCTGATTGGTTGATACAATCGACCTATGGTTTATAATTCAAAAGCTGCGACACTTAGGCGCTTTGCTGACAAATTAGGCTCAATGGTTATCCGGGCTTCTACTAATCGCATTCTATAGTATTGCTTGCATCATTCTGTTTTTG